TCACTTCAAACTGGCACAGGCTGAAGGGATCCTGTGGCCCGGTTTCTCCTCCTCTCTCCACCCACGTCACTCCAGCACTGAGGATCGTTCTCTGGAAGTTGACCACCCCATTGGCGACGTCCATTTTACAGAGGTTACGGAAATCGTGGGTCCCCACGTACCTCTGGGCCGCGGCGTGCATGAGGGCCACGTCCAGGTCAGCGCAGGGGAAGAAGTAGCGGTAGGTCCGCTTGAGGCAGCTGAACCGGGCACTGAAATCGGGCTCCACGGGGGCCCAGGCCAGCACCCGAATGTCAGGCGGGAGCACCCTGTTCAGAATATGGGTGTAGCGGAGCTCCTCCTCCCCCTCGCTTCTGCCTTCCGAGCCACCCTCATGGCCATTTAGCTTCTTCCCCTCCGCCAGGTTGGAGCGGAGATCTAGGGAAATCACCTGCAAAATCAGGAAAGCCAGGATTAGATCACAGATGGGCGTATTTGGCGTGTCAAGCCAAGTCTTCCTACACCGCTGTGAAATAAATTCAGGATCTCTTACAGATGAAGGTGTCTTAAATCAGGCGATCTTACCACTCCTTCCTGCGGGTAAAACTGCAAGTGCTGCTGCTAAGGTTCCTAGCAGATGCTACGGATTCCTTTAATAAAACAGAAAGTTGCAGACTGCCTACATAGCATGGTCTTGAAATGGCTTCAACTTTTAGTCACTGTTTTTAGGCTATAATGTGCTTGGGGGTTTTTTTTATTTTATTTTATTTTGCTGGAGGTGATGACTTGAACCCAGTAGCAGCCTGGCTGTCTGGGAAACCTGGTGTGGGAAGAAGTTAATTAACGCCACAGATGCCTGCGCGCTTTAAATGGCGCAAGAAAAGGCGGCCCCTGCCCTTATTTTGTGCGGCTCATCTTGCGAAGGAGAGCAGACCGCCCACCCGAGCCAAAACCACCCCAGCGAGGCAAGAGCTAAGGCAGCTCAGCTTCCAGAGCCGGGAGGGAAGGAGAGACCGGCCCGACAGCAAGTCTGTCGGGGTCCAGGGGGGGCTTCGCTTTCCCCGTGGGCTCAGCCAGCCTGGTGGCTCCGTGCCCACCGACCGGGCCCGCTTGCTCCCCTCCCTCCAGCTCCCACTCCCACGCTCCCTTCCGCTGGCTGCCGCCCCCCTCGGACCCTTCTGCGCAGGAATTCAGCTGCCTGACTCCGCAGGAAGCTATCCAATTCTTGGATTTTTTGGGTTGGTTTTTTTGGGGGGGGTGGGGGGTGGTTAGCGAGTTAAATCAGCTGAGAGGGCTCTGCCAAGCGCTGCAGTCAGCGCAGGAAGAGCAACAAGTGCCTCTGTGGAGGAAGGGACATCTCTTCTTTTTTTGGCAGCACTGAGCTACCGGGGAAGCTGCAGTATAAAACACATTTCATCCTCTCCAAACAGGCCCTTGGAAAAAAAGCTAGCACTGATATTGGGGAAAAAACCCAACCCCTAGCACTAATAAATACTTTGAGGGTCTAAAGTAATCTTTCCCACATGCAGGAAGCCATTGCCAGGCTCACTTTCAGATTTGAAAGCTGAAGGCTTTTAAAAAAAACAAATCCAACCCATGCTGTCTTGGCTTGTCACAGTGGGACAGTAATCCCACCGGATCTCCACCCCACACGGGAGCCCAGAAATCCGGGGAAGCCGGGGGAGCATCCTGACCTGTCCGAAGGCGCTGACTCCTTTGTCTGTCCGCCCGCAGCGGTGGTAGTTGGAGGTCTGTCTGTCGTCTACCAGCCGCGTCTTCTTCAAGGCTTCAAACAGCTTCTCTTCAATGGTGTTGCTGGTGTTCTCCTGGCTAGCAAAACCCTGGTAGCCCCAGCCCAGGTAGGCGATCTTTAGTGCCACATGCCTGCGGCCGTAGGCGCCGAAATCAAACGGACGTTGCTGGCGTTTCTTGGCTTTCCCGGGGGCCGAAGGAGCCTCTCTTCTCCCAGCGCCCTCCTTGTCCTCTTGGAGCTTCTCCTGCAGCCGCTTCACCTCCTCTTCCAGCTCCTGCACCCTCCTCAGGAGTCGTTCTCGGTCGGTGACCACGCTCCCCTCGGCCATAGCCGCTGTCTTGGAGCCTTGAGTAGCTGCTGGTAGCTCCTCGGGGTCTGCAGACGAAGGAGGAAATGGGGGGGTTTACATTTTTACGTGGCTTTTTTTACACCTAGAGGCTTGCTCTGTAAAATAATTGTTACCCGCAGAATAATTATTTTTTTTTAACCCCTCAGCATTCCTAGCAGAGCATGGGAAGGCCCAAGAGGACTTAGCTCGGACAGCTTCATCTTGCTCAAGTCTCTTTTTTCGCACTTTCTAATCGCTCCTCTTCCCCCAGCCGCCGCCGCGCGATCGGATCTGCTCCGTCAGCCCAAGCGCGGCGGCAGCACGTTCCCTGCTAGCCTTTTGCTATCTGCGCGGAGCCGTCACCGAGCCCTTTCCATTTTCGCACCGCGCTCAGCCAGCATCAACACTTCAGACAACCCGCTAACGGCTGCCACTCATCACACTGTGCCATCTGCTCCAACATTTCGTAACGGCACGGTTAAAACTTGCATTTTTCCAACCCGCTTCACGGCGTAAAGATATCCCAAAGCTGCGTAGCGAGCGGAAACCGTGTCCGGATCCCTTTTCACCGCAGGTCTTGAGGTTTACTACAACCGGACTCAAACAGCCTTTGGGCTACAATAGCCAACATCTAAATGCACGGCGCTGAGCCTTTTCCTCCTCTGCGGGAGTAAAATACCCTCTTGGATAAAAGACTGAAGATTAAATCACGAACTAGGTTAAATCACGAACTAGATGCCGTGTCTTTTAGAAGAACAGGTACGAGGGAAAAATCATTAACACCTCCACCCGGCGCTTACGAAGCGAACTGAATCTGCCCTGTGTTTGTCCATCGTCCCGTTATAATGTAACATACATATAATGTAATTAATTTTGGCGTAGTTTTCAAGGAGGAATTTAGGGGCCGCATCAGATGGGGCTTCGGGGTTTCCATTTGCCGTAGTCTTTTAGAAGAACAGGTACGAGGGAAAAATCATTAACACCTCCACCCGGCGCTTACGAAGCGAACTGAATCTGCCCTGTGTTTGTCCATCGTCCCGTTATAATGTAACATACATATAATGTAATTAATTTTGGCGTAGTTTTCAAGGAGGAATTTAGGGGCCGCATCAGATGGGGCTTCGGGGTTTCCATTTGCCGTAGGGAAAGACCTCCGTCAGATTCACCGCAACCTAAATTCGCACCCGTGAACCCCAGAAGCTGAGAGTCAGAGCTCCTTTTTATATATCTTTAGCTGGCTCTAACGTGCGGTAAGAAATTAACTGTGGTTTATTTTGCAGGATTCGCCCGGTTTGGTGGAAATCATGGAGGAGGCGATGGGAGTGGCAGGGTACGGATGGGCTGCGCCGGAGGATGAGGAGCAGCGGGCCCTGAGCCGGCTGTACGGCCAGCGAGGAGGCAGTGAGGAGCGGGCACGTCCCCGTGACGATCCCTATGCTGAGGCCTCCCTCGTTTTGGGGGTGCCGCCAACCCTTCCTACCTTTTCCGAGGATCGGAGGGGAACCAGGAGGTTGGTAATGAAAAGGAAGGTGCTGAGGCGCAGACCCGACGGAGGAGTAGAGGTCTCCGACGAGTCGGTGACCAGCGAGCCAGATAGTGACGCCGAGGTTTGGAACTTGAGGCAAAAAATGCTTCAGCCAAGGACCGGTCCGGAAGACAGCATCTCTGAGGGGGAAATCGAGACAAGCAGCAGCTCCCTTGAGGAATCCCCGTACCGCTGGCCCCATGGGGACAGTCCCCCCTTTCTCGTCGGGGATTTTGGGAGCTGGAGCTCTCCCGCTTCTCAGTCCACCACCACGGCGGGACAACCCAAGTCCTTTATCCCTCCACGGTTTGAGCTGTTGGGTCGTAACCAGGGGAAAACCGACCGAGTGGCCAAATATTTTGAATATAAACGAGAATGGGAGAAATTTCGAATCCCGGGAGAGGATCAGCGACAAGAACTGCGCTGGGGCATCCGGGAGCAGATGCTCTGCAAGCCTGAGCTCCCCAACAAGCCGCAGCACCTCTACGTCCCCAACACTTATGCTGTGCCGACCGAAAAAAAGAGAGCTGCCCTGCGCTGGGAGGTGCGCTGGGACCTGGCCAAGGGCCTCATCCCCAGAAAAAACACCTCCTCCTAGTTTCCTAAAGCCCCGCTCCGCACCGACGATCTTTTATCCGCGCACGTGCTGCTCTCCCAAGTATTTTTTTTTTTTTTCCTGCCCTCTCAAAGTAATTTGGGGGAAAAAAGAAAAAAATCCCCTTTTTGCGCTGCAAGGGGGTTAAATACTGGTATTAAAATTTTACCCGGTGCTTCGGGTTGTTCAAGGGGCTGGGTAAAACATCCCCGCTTCCCTACCGCAGCGTGTGGAGCTTTTTCCCCCGTTGCGATGAGAAGGAGCAGGCACTGAAAAGCCGCCCAGCCTTGCGAGACTTTTCCGAATTATCGGGAGAAACGAGAGTGCAACGAGCCTGGCGATTTTTGGCGTGGAATTGTCCCCAGATTGTTGCACGAGCTAGTCGGGAGGTTTTATCCGTGGCGTCTCAGCAATATTTTTAATAAAGCATGTGGAAAGAGCAGTTCTGGTTCTGTGGGTTAATTAGAAATGTTTATCATTGTAGATTTATCCTTCCCCCACTGAACTCTTGGCCTTATTTTACCTCATTTTTAAAACGAATGAGGTTTAGGATGACATGAAGATAATAATAATATTATTATTTTTTCCAGGTATGGGGATGGATTGATTTTGCAGCTCGGGCACAGGAAAGCGCCCGGAAGCCGCTGGCCCTGCGGGAAAGGTTCCCTGAAATCCCACTGCGATGGCTGGAAAAGGGGTGTGGGGACCCCAAACCCCACCGCGGTGACCCCGGATGGGGACACCTACTCTGTCACCCTACTGTCACCCCACGCCGGGGGTCCCGGAACCCCACGGATCCCCCAGGGCAGGGGTCCCTGATGGGGACACGCACACTGTCACCCTGTTGTCACCCTGTACCTCACGGACCCCCCGGGGCAGGGGTCCCTGATGGGGACACGCACACTGTCACCCTCAGGGCAGGGGTCCCTGATGGGGACACGCACACTGTCACCCTGTTGTCACCCTGTACC